GAACTTTGAAACTCTCCCTTGTAATTCCAGCCTTTTATATTTCTGACAGAAACAATTCTTTTACGTTTTCTTCTGAAAATACGGATTTATGCCGATATCTGCTATTAAAGATCTTTTGAAGAAGTGGGAGGATGTCAGAACAACGGTCTTAAAATGGCATCCAAACCAGGTTGAGGTTAATAGGCCTATAGATCTCTACAATTACAATGCTATTAATTACTTCTGAAAAATCATGAAGAAGACAGAAAAGCAATCGACATTGGACAGATTCTTTAACCCCCATAAACAGAAAAACACGACTAATAAAAATGCAAGCCCGTGTATATATGTATTTTTATTATTACATGTGAATAAACGTAGTAAGAAAGTATATATATTTTTATTTTTTGGGGGGTCTCCAGAACGAATTAATCAAATTCCCATAGAAACCTATGGTAAATCGATAATCGGTTAACGAACAATTCGGATAGCGAACAAAGTCTTGGAACGGATTATATTCGTTAACCGATCACCCACTGTATTACAATGCAGAAAAATCATTTATTTAAACTTGGCTTTTAAAATATCAGAGAGTTGCTTATTTCTAATGCATTCAATGTTTTTCTCCACTCAGTAATTCTGCATAAAATGTTTTATGCCATCTATGGCTAGCTTTTTAATGGAATTTTCTGTTCCTTTAGTAAACTAGAATTTTTGTTTATCTGAAATTTAATAAATTTAAAAATTTTACATTTTACTGACTCTATGACTCATTTATATATCAGAATTATATGATTATTTTAGCTGCATCTTGAATAGCTTGCAATTTAATTCGTATATGTATGAATGATTTATTATTATTATTATTTCAGCAACTACAGTCACTTCTGTTTCATCTAAACCTGTACCAGATATGAGCAATACTACAAGTGAGTATAAGTTTCACTATATTTTTATTCAGTATTAAAAGAAACATATTAATGTTTCTTTTTATTTGAAGTGAATTTGTTTAATTTTCCTCTTTATTCTTGAATTTCACTACAATGAATAACTGAAATAGCAGTTATTCCAAGAGGAAATCATGTCTAATTTTAGTATTGTTTGGATATGCTTAAATGATTTGATTACTCCAATAATAAGCAGCTTATTTGAGTTTTCCTTTGTTTTCTTTCTTAGATTAAAAGACCAAGGTTATTAATTCTATCATTTAGAATATAATATATATATATATATGACTTTTTTTTATCATTTCTCTTCCGTTTGTTGTACAGCTAATATAGATAATTTTCTTTTGTTTTCTAACTAAAAAGTCTCTCTAATTTCAAGAACACAGTTTTTTGATTTTCAGAAAATTCATAATTTCTTAATTTTATAGTTATATAAACAAAAAATAGAGTAACTATTTTATTGTTACACACACAAAATAGTTCTAATATGACTCAGTCCAAAAAATTTTAATCATTTAAAAGGAAAAATCCAACTTGTGAAATAAAAACACTAAATTACAGTTTACAAATCAGGAAGCTAATTAAAATGTTTATTAAACTTTTTACATGACCTATAGTTCCTTTTTTTTTCCTTTGGAATTTCTAAAATTCCCAGAGAAAAAACTATTTTTAGAAATAGCTAATTGTTTACACTCTTCTCATAGTAAACATTTTCAATGGAATCATTGATCATTTTTCTCCTGAACCTTTGTAGCTCTGAAACAAATTCAAATCTTTTATTTGACCTTAATCAAGTCAAGACAGTGGGTGTTTGTATCGGTTGTTTTTCCAAGTTCTCTTGCTCTCTCATCTTTGGCTATCTCGTCTTATTGTTCAATATCTAAAGCAACAAAATACATTTTCTGTGACTTCTGTTGTATCATACAAAAATATTCAAATTAAAGTATAATTTCCTTTATAATTACATATGTTACTAGAGTTTATTATGAATGAAACATTTTCACTATGAATGATACTATTGAAAGTACAAATTTAAGTTATATTTTGAAACAAATTGGAATATACTGTGTATAAATTTGAAAATTGTATTTTTTCAGATGATAAATGAACGTGAATTTTTAAAAGTTGTATTACAAATCAAATGAAATTTTCTTTAACTTAAAAATTTTAATATAAAGTGTTTAATTTAAAGTTATTAACATTTCATGATTCTAAATTATATATGTTCATATTTTAATGTATAGTTTGATTGGAATGTATATTTGTATATAGCATAATTAGTTAGGAATTATTTCATTTTTATTGTATACATAAATCATGTTAATCTCTCTAGCATCCTCGCCGATAACCAGCGAACAGGCTTTTCCTCGTCTTGGCAGTAACATTTCTTTACTAACTAACAGTTCCGAAGCCCCCTTCACTACTTCCACTTCATTGCTTCCTGCAACCACCAATAATGTGGTCACTGATAATAAAAATCTTTCTTCCATGAGAGATAGTCCGGCAGTCTCTTCCTTTTCTCCTGTTTTTACATATTCAAATGCTACAGGTGTTTTAGGTATCATGACTATTTTAGTTTGTTTTATTACACCCTTGTTTTCTGTTTTTATCAGAAGTAACTTTACAATTTTCAATAGTATTGTGTATGTCTTGTACATGTTTTAACCCTTAAAAAAATTTGTTTTTGTAGAAGCTGCATGCTTGTATTCACCCGATATTTAGTAATGTAGAAAAGCATATGTAGTAACAATTTCTGCAACATGTTGGTGACTACAGAGTTTATTGCTGCTGCAGACTTTCTGTGTGTGCACTTTTGATCAATCTATTTGTATTAGTAAAGCTATTGTAACTGAAAAATTAAGTCTATAATTCAAAATTATGTATGTGATTACTCCTTATTTATCAATTAATATTGTTCTTAAAGAACTAGTCACCAGCATGTTAATGGTAACATAAAATGAAATTGTTTTTATTTCTTGTATTAATAATCATCTTCTTGGACTTGGAGTTATTGTTTAAACAATTTCATTTTTGTTATAATTGGCCACACTAAATTATACATTTATTTCGCAGAAGCAATTCCCACGCTCGTCGATGTTCTCGAAACAACATCCGGCCCTGTTGTCAGTGCCCAGAATGCCTCTCTGATGCACAAGAAGCAAAATCTTCCATTGTCGGATGCAGACACGGGCAAGGTGGCAGGTATCATCATCGGCATACTTGCGGGAATTGCAATAGTCATCACTCTGGTAAACATATTTTACTTTACTCATTTAGTTATTATTCATTTTATTTTATGGTAAAAATAAGACCTGACGTTTTCTAATTTATTTAATTACAGGTTGCATTTTTTGTCTACAAGCAGTATTTACGTAGGAATGTGACCAGCATGAACTTTGATAATCCAGTTTATCGTAAAACGACGGAAGACCAGTTTAGTCTGGAGAAAAATCAGTATCAACCAGCAAGATCGTATCCACCAGTAAGTTATATATGATCATTAGGTGAAGATATTGCTTGATAAAATACTGACCTAAGACTTCCATTAATTTTGTTCTAAGTATTGTAAGACATACTTTAATTCAGTTTTTAATAACAATAAAATTATTTTCAGAGTTTGGAACCTCTAACCTCTCCAGGAACTAATGAATTTGTATAATGTTTAAAGCCAAATAGGAAGAAAAGAATATATTTGCCCATATATTCTTTTTGCTATCATGACTGTTAATGTGTTCATGGCAATGGTGCACGCAAGGAGTACGGTATGGTCGTGCATCTTTTTATAGTCGATTATTTGTATTTTGAACATCACGTGAAATTTATTTAAGGCAACAGATAACATACTTAACTTGCCAACTCGAACTTTTTTATAACTAATATTGAAGAGTAACGATTTTTCATACCAGTCAGTAATTTAAGTTGCCACAAATGCATGTTTGTGTGTATTATTTTTGATGGTGCTTGTGCAAACTTAAAAGTGGTTGCCGGTGAAGTTCGAGCGGAATCTCTTCGGAAGAAGACCGAGTCAGCGCATCTATTTTTGTTGTTTTTTTTTTTTTAAAGAAGAGGAATTCAAAAGTGTTGGAGTTCCGAGACGGCAGCACGAAAGTGTACATAACATTAAACACGGACAGAATATTTTGTTTCAAATTAAAGTTTCTTAAAAGGTGAGCAGTTTCATCGATGACGTCTTACGCCCGCAACTCGTCGCTCGACAAGGTCCAAATCTTCCAGTCTGTGTCGGGCAAATCTTCCCATCATTTGGCTTTGGGTGGACACTCTTCTTTAAAATGGTTGGCAAAACTCCAAGCATTCTTCTTGAATTCATTACACAATTTAATTAATAACTTAGCTCCTCATTTCATTTACATCTGCTAATATCTGCTACATTATCCATTTTGTATTTCCTTAGACATACTCAAAAAGTAATGTTTTAATGGAATACGGACACCTTTCAGTTATGCATAGTTAATTTGAAACATTGTATCGTTTCTTCAAATGCCAATTGCAACGGCATCCAATGTTTTTTTTTAACTACAAAATAATTCAATTTTAGAAAGTTGGAATATAGAAATTACATTCCAACATTTTAAATTTTGCAGCCTTCCTAATATATAATTTAAATTACTAAAACTATATACAGTAAACAAAACAATCTCTATTTTATAGGGCCCAGTGCAGAGCATTCACGTCTCGCGGAGGCCCCACAGACCCAGACGGTCCACCCGAGCGTACGTGCCCCGCCAAGCTAAACTCTAGTAGTAAATTTGTGCGCCGCGGCCAGAACGGTAGTTTCATTCCCGTAACTAAGCATTTAAGTTACAATAAAGAACACCGGAAGACTCTGTAAGAAGCTAGTTTTAATTCACGAAGACAAAAATAAGCAGTTTATGAAACTCCTATGCAATCAAAAGAAAGTTTTGCAGATATTGCAAATTTTTCCCCTCTTCCTTCCCTGTGATGGTGAGTACCAATCACCAGTATATTTATGTATAGTATTTATATTGTTAGATTTTATTTTTTACATTTTTTTCAAGATCGAGGGATCAAAATAGTTTATGTATACAACTTTGACGTAAAAATAAACACCACTTCCTTAGTTATGTTAGAAGAATTGTTAAAGTATACACATACATACACAAACAATTCCTTTGGCATAACCAATAAAAAGGAAGTGATGAAAATTAATTGTATTTTTTGCGGTTGGTAATTTATTATTACTATTGCTTTTTTCCTTTTGTGTAGTAAGAATTCATCCCAAAAAATTGCCAACGCGCGAGTAAATAAAAACAAAAATATGAAATAAATTCATGTTGGATGTAAATGTGATAAAAATCCTCTTCTATTCCTAGTCTCGACTCGTGCAGATTGCTGTGTGACGTTTTTGTACATTTTATTTTCAAAATTCTGTTTTCGTTCGGTGTTATGTAATATATTAAGTGTATTGTACGTGATTAGTAATTAAATATAAAATGTTGGTATAAAAAAAATTTTCGATTCAATTTATTAATGAATACGTCATGAGTGGTACACTACCATTATTTAGTACATTAAAATATATTGCCCCGTGTTCTAACATATTTAAAATTATTATTTTTTATATCGATTAATCTTTTAATCGATAGCCCATTTTTGGGTAAGGGGGTGCTTTAAAAAAAAAAAGAGTTTGCGCTCTCGTCGCTAGATGGCGGCTGTATAAAATCCGGGATAATTAGGTTTTCCGGGACATCTGCCCACACTTAGGTTTAATACTCATTCGTTTAGGGTAGCCGCCGATTAAAAAGTGGTACCCGATATTCGGTTTTGTTGTAACTAATGAAGATTTCAGAATATGGATCGATGGGACGGGATTAAACAGTATATTAGATGAGGGCCACAAATTAAAGCGAACAATAAATCAATGCCGCCGTCAAATCGATTAATACAGAAACAACACGATGCCAGTATATTTAACACAACGAAGCAGCGGGAGTAGAGTAATCGGCTAATCACGGTAGGCGAGTGACCCAAACAACTCTACCCTGTCCAGTCGAACAGAAAGGAACAAGCAGAACTCTAGAGCAGTTAACCGAATACGCCATTATTCCCCAATAGAGGTTTCAAGGTCGCATGTCACATGATAAAACGCAGGTTTGCATCGCCCCTTCGCCATGTTTGTGGTCTAGCTTCCGCTTGCTTAGTTTGTATTCGACAGGTTGCCAGCGCTTTTTTCAACTTAAACTTATTAGAACTACAGTGTTTTTATATCACGGAGAAAGTTTAAAACAAACAAGCTTTTCTAGCGGTTTATTCTCGCAGTCTGACAGGACATGTTCTATATGAAGAGAAAATTTCATCATCACGTCAGGATGTCGATCCATACGAAGCCAACATCATCGTGGCCTAAAGTAAACTTTGTGACGTCAAACTATTTGGTTTCGACCACAAATTACTACACTCTTATAAACGAAAGCTTATAAATCTTTAGAGGTCCGTAACTAGCTTACAAGTGGCCGTGTTTCTCCTAATTATGTGCTCTTTCATAACGCTCCCGATATGCAGTTGGGGTGCGGCCATTCATACCCCATCTATAATGTTCGCACCCAGCTGGTGATGACTCAATAAAACGAGGAATGTTTTCCTTTGGAGTAGAAAAACTTTTTCAATAATATATTATTTAAAAGAACTTATTATTTATATATAACATACCATAATGATAAGAACTTGTCAGGAACAACTTGAAGGTTACTACGTAATATTACTACTCAGGCCCACCGTAAGCGGGCGGCAAATCGAGCGATCGGTCACGTTCGAAGTCATTGTCATAATACCCACCCTACTTATAGCATAAGAAATGTCTTCTCACGGAGAAAAAAATCCGACCGGTGCGCAATTACTATATTCTTATTTATATTATAGCATTAACAGCGCCTCTATTGGCATTTATCAGAATTAAGACGCAATGCGAAACGTCTGTCGAACCATCCAGCGGCGCCCGAAAGCCAAGTACCCAAGGTCGGGCTCTATGACAGAAGTTGACAGGACTGGCGAAAATAGGGAATCCCCACAGAGCTTCCTTCTCAATTTGTACAGTACAAAATATTCTTCAATTATACGAATATACTTTTAAAGAAAATTATAATTAAATATAGCTTTGTAAAGAAACGTACATAAAAATAACATAAAATATTCTTTACTTTTTAAATCATTAAAACAATGCACTTAGTCAAATAGCTCCCCCTACGAGTGGCTAACGGATGGAATCGAAGACGGTTGCGGAGCGCGCATACACGCCGACTGCCAAATCCCCGGGGTGCCGATACCGGTCAATGTCAAATACCTCTTTCGTCGCATCACTAGTATATTTCAAAGGACGCGACGGGGCCGTTGTAGATTTTAAACGTTTCTCACCATAGCTGTAAAAATCTAAATATGTTAAACTTAATAGTCATTTGTTTTCTAACTAATTCGTTTTAGGACCGAGTGTCCTCAGAAATTTCCAAAATTTACAACTTTTCGGTCACTCTCGTTCAACTGGAAAAATTTCTGTCTATTACATTAATAATACGAAAAAATCAATCTCCACCGTACTCGGCTAGAGATGGTTCGGTTAAGCTTTTGTTTAAGTAAAATTTCGGCTCTTTCGTCAGGGTTTTGTTTATGTCCCCAATTCCCTAATGGCTTAATTATTTAACTACTTCTTAAGTAGAAATAAGTCGAAACCGGTTACTTTGTACTCGAATATTTGTAGTCTCGGGAAAAAAGTGGAAAGACTAATTTTTACGACAAACGAATACATAAATCGTAAATTTAAGGAAAATAAATTCTAGAGCTTTTTCTGTACCTCGTGCGCCTCTTTCATTAATTTAGTTGTAATGATGCTGTCAAAGTAACGGTTAATTTTTTAACATTACACAAGAATTATACACGTTTTTTCTACACCCTCTTAGAGATGGGACGTACGAAATCGTAATATCACCGGTTTACCATTGAAATCCGTAAGTAGGCCTAATATAAAATCGGAGAGCGGAATAAAAATATCAAATATTTTAATGGGTTTTTTAAAACTCCTGTCAACTATACAGAACTATCGTAAAAACATACCAGTAAATTCTTATCGGTTGGGTTAAGTTATAAATCTACTCGCGATTTGCGTAATCGGGCGAGGGTGGCCAAAATATCTAGCGGGCGGGTGGCTAACGGCCCGGATAGAATTGGATGCGGTATACGTGTGGCATACACCAGAGGTCCTAGGCTATCTTTTTTTTTTCACGTGCAGTATAGAAATTTGTAATAAGATACATAATGCGGTTATAATAAAATATTGTGCGATTATTTTCGTATAATTAAAATTAATATGTATTTATTTTTTTAGAAAATACGAGGGAAGCGGCGCATCCACTGTTTTAAAACCATTCAAAGAAATTACTATGGAAGCGTTTCGATCAAGAATTAGTAACATATTTACATTTACCCCTTAAACAAAAACACTGTGACCTATTTTTGTTGTGGAGAAGTTCAAAAGAACTTTTTTCTAATTTGAGCAAAATACCTATGAAATATTTAAGCGCTCCAGCATCTTCCATTAAAAGCGAAAGAATTTTCGGCACTGGAGATAACATTTATAAGCCGGCAAGAAATAGATCATGCCCTAAAAATGGTGAAATTCTCGTGTTTTTGCATTACATTTAAGGGTTTTACAGTTTGAATATTAAATTTTTATTTGTTTTAAATGTTTAAAGTTTAAACTTTAAATAAGAGAGATTGTTTTGAATAGGTCCATACAGTAATCTTTTATTTTTGGTGGAGGATTATCATCATTTGTCCGAGTTTTCCAGTACATCGAAATCACAACCCTACTCATCTGTTATATTAATACTAGTAGCCCGGGACGCCCCCTAGTGGGCGTTCCAGCAGCATTACAAATTCCTGAGGCATGTTTAATGCACTTAATATATGAAAGTTGTGTGCGCTTAATGTTTAAAAGTTTGATGCAGTTAATATATATAAATGTATACAATTCTTCATCTTAGAAACTAAACTTAAAATATCAATACACAAACAGCAAACAGTATTTGTACATGAGAAAGTGAATCTATTCTTTACTCAAAATTGTTCAAATAAATAGAATTAATATGATTAAAAAATCAAGTATAAATATATACAAATGTTCATGTTAAAAAGTAATGTTAACAGATCAATACACAGCAAATAGTATTTCTGTATTACAGACTGAAGATATTCTTTAGCTGTGTTCTGTATTCCATCATTTATCCCATCATAAAACTTCTGTATACACAACATTGTTGGTAAAAAAA